GAATGAAACACTGGTCCTCTGCAAGAGCAGGCAGTGCTTTTAACCACTGAGTCATCCATCTCTCCAGCCTGAGAAACCAGGGTTTTAAAATAACCAAATACGGGGAAAAAATTTCCCCTTTGAAAGTTCACTCATACCACCTATAAAGCAATCAGCGTTTGGAAAGATAAACACTTAACAAAGAGGACACTAGTGACAGAGTCCAATGGGACTCCTGAGTAATGCTGTTTATTGTAAAGGATGAGTTATGGATCTGGTGTTTCTGCAAATTTGCACTTTCTGGTTCTTCTAAAATGAAGGTGACAGGGCTGGAGAGATGGCTCAGCGGTTTAGAGCACTGACTGCTCTTCCAGAGGTCCTGAGTTCAATTCCCAGTAACCACATGGTGGCTCACAACCACCTGTAGTGAGATCTGGTGCCCTCTTCTGGCCTACAGGCAGGATACTAAATAAATAAATAAATAAATCTTTAAAAAAATAAAATAAAATAAAATAAAATGAAGGTGACTGCTTAGTTGTAAAGGGGAAAATCATTTAGAAGAAGTGATACTAAAATCAATTTAAATGCCCCACTGAAGTAAGGGAGGTCGATTCAAATATGTCTAGCCCATGGGCTGGAGAGATGGCCCAGTGGTTAAGAGCACCGCCTGCTCTTCCAAAGGTCCTGAGTTCAATTCCCAGCAACTACATGGTGGTTCATAACCATCTGTAATGAGATCTGGTGCCCTCTTCTGGCCTGCAGGCAGAGTGCTGAGAATACTGTATACATAATAAATAAATAAATCTTTAAATATGTCTAGCCCAGACTGGCTCCAAACTCATGGCTACCCTCAGGCCTCAGCTTCCTGAGTGTAGAAGTACAGATGTGAAGCACCACACTCAAATTTGTGAGGCAAAGCCTGTCTTTCAAGATGTTTTTTTCCTTATCAGGCAGTAATTCACAAAAACCTTGAAATCCTTGTCATTTAAACCCCAAGCCATTTCTATTTCTCAAGATAACTTCTCAGGTATATTAACTTATGAAACTAATGTACATATTTAACATTAGCTCATATATATGTAAAATAAGCAACACAAGGAACTTAAAGCAAAATTAGAACAATTAAAGGAAGGACACAGCACACACACCACCATAGCTGTGGTTGGGAATGCGGCTCCACTGTACTTTGCCTGCCCAGCCCATGCTCTGTCAGCACTGCATCAACAGAACGTGGTGGCACATGCTCTGTAACTGTGGCACTGGGGATATAGCAAGGCCATACTTGCATACCCAGTTAAGGCCAGCTTAGACTACACGTGACCCTTCCTTAAACTAAAATAAAAAAGCAGAGGTTGGAAAGATGGCTCCGAGGTTAAGAACATTAGTTGCTCCTCCAGAGGACTTGGTTTTGGTTCCTAGGACACACACATCCACTCCAATCCCAGGATATCTGAAGTCCTCTTCTGACTTCAACAGGCAATGTATCCATCCATGTGATACACAGAGACAAAAACATCCATACACCCCCACAAAAAAATAAGGAAATAGAGAAATATCTACTTTTCAAATGTACTCAAAGTCTGAAATGAAGCTGAAGTACTATTCTACAGAGACAATGTTAGATACTTTTGTTAATTTGGGGTTTTTTTTAGTTTATTTTTTATGTGCATGGGTGTTTAGTAAACATGTTTATCTATGTACCACTTGCATGTTTAGCGCTCACCAAGGTCAGGAGAGGATGCCAGGTCCCCAGAAAATGGAGTTACAGGTGTTCTGATTCACCATGTATGTGCTAAGAATGGACCATGGGTCTGAACGAGAATGGCCCCACATTCATATTTGAGTGCTTGCTCTGCAACTGGTGAACTATTTGGGAAGGATTAGAAGGCATGGACTTGTTGGAGGAGGAATGTCACCAGAGGTGGGTTTCCAGTTAGCTCTCTGCCTCACACGTGCAGATAAGATGTGAACTCCCAGCTACTGCTTTAGCACTACCCCTGTCTGCCCACTGCCATGCTTCCTGCCATGATGGTCATGGAGTCCCTCTGACACTTACAGTAACTCTTCTAAAATTGTCTTGATCACAGCGTTTTGCATGGCAATAGAAAACTAACTAAGAAATGCCCTAAATTGTATGTCAGAAGTTTGAAGGGTGTGACCTAATCCCAGCATTCAGGAGGCAGAGGCAGAGCACCTCTGTGAGTCAGAAGTAAGTTTGGTCTATACAAAAACTTTCAGCTCAGTCAAGGATACATAATGTCTCAAAAAATAATAAATTTTAAGACTGAGGAATACTTTACATAACCATCTCATTTTTCTTCTCTCAAAATTAATTTGAAGGATGTGCACCACCAACAAAGGTAAATAACACAGACTGACTACTTAATCCAGGTCATAGCCTTAGCTCACAAAACTAAACTAATGACCTAAACTCACCTACAGTTTACCAAAACCAGAAATAGCAAGGAGCTGGGGATGCAGTTCCATGGCAGAGCATTTGACTAGAATGTACAGGGTCTTATGTTCAATTCCCAGCATCCATGCACACATTTGCACATACAGAGGTATGGATCTTCAATACTGAACTTTTGTGTTTGTGAGCGCTTTCTATTTAAGGTGGCTATGACTTGATAGCACTCTTCAAATCCCAGCACTAAGGAGACTAACCAGGCAGTTCTAAAATGCAAGGCCAGTACAGACTACAAAATAAAGTCCTATTACAAAAAGAGGTTGAGAAGATAGGGTGATGGCCCTGTAAAATGCTTTCTATACAAGTATGAAGACCTGAGTTCTGGTCCCCAACACCTTACTTAAAGATGGGTGTGCCACTGTATGTTGCTAATTCCAGTGTGGGGGAAATGGAAGCAGGTAGATCTCTGGCATTTGCTGGCCGGCCAGCCTACCGGTGAATCAGTGAGTTCCCGTTCAATGAGAGACTATATCACGAAAAAGAAAGTGGAGAGTAACTGAGGATGACATCTGACATCAACTCCTGAGTTCCACAGGCATGTGCATAGTATTATGTGCACACATACACTCACATGCGTGCACATGGGGACATACACATAAATATTTAGGTAAGGTATGGCTCAGCATTCAAGCACTTGCTTATCCCGGGTCCAAAAGGTACTAAAGACAATGTCTTTCTAAATCCTATCAGGCCAAAGTTAGCATCAAACATTCTAATTTCTTAGTACTTTATTCTTTTGTTGGCTGAAGCAGTATAGCAACACTGAATTAAAAAGTTTATAAAATAAGGCCAGTGAAAAAAAAAATGAAAAAAAAAAAAAATAAGGCCAGTGGCCTGGCTCAGTGGGTAAAAGTCACTCGTGGGATCCGATTGTGGAAAGTGTGAGCTGACTCCCACAAGTTCTTCTCTGAGCTTCATGTGCACATCAAGACGTCTAAATACACAAACACACACACGCATGCACATATGCACAAAACAAACAAATATAATAAAACCCCCTAATTTTTAAAAAAGAAATTTATGAAATACCTAGGAACATAGATCAGGTATTAAATAGCTCAGCTACCATTTTCAAGAACCTAAAATGCCTCTGGCCTTTGTTTCGCAAATCTGCATTTACTCATGAATATGCTTAGTAACTTTTCCTAAGGTAAAAGAATGTCAGTAAAATTTTTAAAAAAGACAAAGTGCATGTCCTTTACATCTCAGCTCAGGAGGCAGACAGAGGCAGGCAAATTTCTTTGAGTTCAAGGCCAGTGTGGTCTACATGTAGAGTTCTGAGCCAGAAATATCAACATAGTGAAACTCTATCTCAAAAAATAAGAAAAAGAAAAGTTAAGTTTTCAACAATACCCTATTGTTACTAAATCAGTTTTTAAAAAAAACTCTTAATTTGGGTGCTAGAGACGGCTTGGGGACTAAGCGCACTGGCTGCTCTTCTAAACTGTTCTGATGTTTAGTTCTCAGCACTAGACGGCAGCTCACAACTGTCTCTACTCCTGTTCTGGGGGATCCAATGCACCTGGCGGACACAAATGCAGGCACATACACATAAAATAAAAATAAGACCTTAATTCTATTTTTATTAAAGGTTAAGGACAGGGCTAGTGGCACAGTTTACCTAACATGTATTGAAGCCTTGGGTTCTATCACCCCATCCCCCCAATAAAAATGTTAACAATTTTATACTTCCAATAATTTAGCTCTCAGAAGTCAAAATATAAACATTGGCTTTGCAAACTGTCAAAGTGAGTATCACTAGTAACCAAGCCTAGCCACATGGACATCTTACAATTTCCAGGTGCATTATGGGTTGGGTAGTATACCTTCACACTTTTCTTTTCATCTGACCCTTCGGTCATAAGGTAGGCTTTATCTCCGTCGGTTCCCTCTACACTCAGGAAGCAGTTGGTTGTGTGGCCAATCCCACTAGGGAGAACTTTATCCCACAGCATTGCATTGATGACAGAGCTCTTGCCACTACTCGTCCTGAGAAACATGCAAAACAAGGAGTAAAAACAAACTTCACTGTGCTCAAACCAACATTTCACAGTTCAATTTCACAGACAGCGCCTTTTATAAAAAGACCACAGAGCACACCTGTGATCTAGAACTTGGGAGATAGAGACAGGAGGACCGGTTCAGCTACATAAGACAAAGTAAAACAAAGTTTAAAAAAAAACCAAGTAGGCAAATAAGAAAGCCAGACAAGTGCTGTTAAATATTAGCAGTGTATTTAGAGAAGATAAGGTGCTATAAAATTGTGCCAATTTGAAAACAAACATGGAAACTCTGTGGTGCATTTCCTATTTCCAGATGAGGTCTAATGTCCCATCTTCTCAGGCTGGACTGTGTGACAGTGGTGGTTTCCAAGGATGAACATAAAAGGCAGTGCAGCTCCTTCCTGTTTACTGGGAATCCTGCCACAGAAGAGGTCAACTGTACTGACTGCTTTGCCACAGTTAAGGCAGGCTGAGGGAGGTCTGGCAAGGGGTGCTAGCTGAGTCACCACATCACTCCAGCCCAGTACCAGATAATTCTACCCCTCCAGTGTTGAGCAGCCCCAATCTTGAAGAACAAAGATAAGCTGTCTCCACTGTGTCATGTCTGAACTAGGAATCAGTGTGTACAGCGAAATGGATGTTTGTTTCAGTTTTTTGAGACAGGGTTTCTCTGTGTAGCCATGGCTGTCCTGGAATTCACTCTGTAGACCAGGTTGGCCTCAAACTCAAGATCCACCTGCCTCTGCCTCCTGTGCTGAGACTAAAAGTGTGTGCCACCACTGTCCAGCAGTGATTCTCAAAACTAGTTTGAGACCCCTAACTCTATCAGAATCTGGGAGAATACAAATGATATCAAGTCCTCAGGTACATTATGAACCATAGAATCAGACTATAAAGTTACACCCAAGCACAGGTAATCTTCCTCCTGTGCCTAACAATACTGGGATCATAGCTATGTACCACCATGTATGAATCTCTTCAACTGTTTTCATGAAGCTTTATTTCCAACTCTCAAATCATTTAGTGACCCGCACTAACCTAAAATTATCTAAGGGCTACCCTATCTCACCCAGGCTCATTAGCATAAATCCAGGCTGATCAAAGGAGCTCATTATAAATAATAAAAGCTATTCCTACCAATTAGGAAACTCTAAAGGTTTTAGCAAGTCTGTTATAGGAAGAGACATGAATGCCAAATAGTCATCTTCTCTTCTAGCATCCTAATTACTCCTAGTTTTCCTGAGCTGTTGTAGGGCCCTGGTCTCCCTTATTCCTGGGGACAGTTATGATCAACTAACTAAGCTTCCTGTGTGTTTCTGTGCTCTTCCTCCCCGCCTGGTGGTTAGCTGCACGCCATTTACTCCTTTGTTAATATGGTAATTTCCCACCTGCCTGGGCAGAGAGATCCTAGTGCTGCAGTTAGGTAGATAAGGACTCCCCCAATGCTGAATAAACGGGCATTCGGCTGATCACCTTTCGAATGACCCTGGTCTCTCTGTGTGTTCTTTCAATCTCCAGGCCCTTGTTTGACTTGCGTTCGGTACAGTGGCGCATGAACTGTACCGAGGGTGTAACACAAAATCGGGTGTTACAAGCTGTGTGGCATCTCTAATTCATGGATGGTTCCTCTTCTCCCCTCTCTTGTTATTACTCTTCCTTTTCCCTGTGAATCATCTCATCAACTCCCCAGATCCCAACCACCAACACAAGTCAATAATTTCTAAACTTCCTATAACTTGTCTAAGTTGCAATTTCAAATATCCAACTTGGCAGTTTGGAAAACTTTATATGAATGGCTAATAAGCACCCACAATACACATCTACATCACATGAACACAAACACCTGTTCACAAACCTACCACAATAAATGACACTCAACCAACCAAGTAATTTGTGATTGTCACCTTCCTAATTAATCTCTAGGATACACACACTTATCTGTATGTGTACCATGTGCATATAGTGCTATGGAAGCTGGAGCAGGACATTGGAGCCCCTGGAACTGTGAGCCACGGGGTGGTTGCTAGGAAGTGAACCCTGGACCTCTTCAAGAACAGTAAGTACTCTGAAGCATTGCACGTCTCCTGCCCCTACTTACTCTCTGATATCTTCTACCAACCTTCCTGTCTAACCACACAGACTAAGAGCCTCGAGTGCCTCACCTCCTACCTCCTAGTCCCATTCAACCTATCCTCTGTGCTCCATATCCAACATCATAACCGTAACTAAATCCTCTCATTTTACCTTTCAAAGCATAAAGTATACAGAACTTATTTGTGCCCTAGGAAGTCTTCAGCAAATTTCTCTCTGCTCGCTGCACTAATGCTCCTGAGTATCTCAAACCTAACCAAGAACATTAAGGGCTCCTTCTCCCTTTCCACTTGCTACTCTCTGCAAGAAATGGGCGTTAGGGCCAGCTCATATCCAAGGCTTATTCCTCACCTAACGGCAGGTTTAAAGGCCAATAAACCCACAGCAAGTTCATAATATGCTGCAAAAATACAGATGCTCCTGGCTCCCCACAATTACAGCTGGGTGATCACGTGGTTACTAGGAACTGTTGCTCCTAGCCACACTCTAAGCGAGTCTTCTACTGCACAGGAGTGTGCAACACTTCCACAACATCATGTATGGGCAGGGATTGAAGTCAGTCTCTGTAAGTCAGGGGCCATGTTCTATCTCTTAGCCTCAAGGAAGACATCAGTCCCCACCATCTATCTAGAGGTGTCTTCCAACTACTTCACCGTAGTCTTAGGTAAAGCCTATTTATGGAGTTGCCTCTCTCTAAACTTGTCTAAGGCCTGAGAATACTGTGCCAAGTAGAAGTAGAAGACAGTAAAACAAAATAACAGAGCATTGTGAAAGGCTTAGAGGAACTTTAACAGGCTACTTTAAGAACAGAACTGGCTGGGGATGGAGTCATGTGACTGAATGTCTGCCTAGCATGTGACACAGACTGGATCAACTGCTAGCCCCACCTCGACACTACTAGAAGTAGCACTACTAGAAACAGAAATGAAACAGAGTTGACTGAAGGAACTAACACGGGAAAGTAAGTTCAAGGCTACCTTTGGCTACCCTGTCTCAAAAAAGCAAAATCAACAAATAGAATCTGAGGGGGAATCCTTCAGATGCAGTGGCCAGGAAAGCCTTTTGAGGTTAAATAGGAAAAATGATCTACGCACCAACAATTACAACTGCAAAAGATGAGAAACAGCTTGACATGAGTTTAGTAAATAAATGTCATTATTGGTTAAAAAAAGATAGTTGAGACAAGAAATATAAGGCTAGTCATTTGTCTTTGTGTCCCTTGGCAGAGCAGAGCGCACAAGTGAGCAGGTAGTAGTTAACAGTCCTTTTTCTTTGCAGTGACGGTCATCAACCTAGGGCCTTGTTGTGTATACAAGGCAGGCTTTTGATCACAGGCCACATCTGCAGCTCAACACCTGATGGCCAGATGAGTATATCACGTGTGACAAAGAGCACCCTATCACGTAGACACACTGACATATAGTGTTCCCTGCTCTTCCTCTAGGAATCATGAGTTGAGAGTCTTCTGGAAGATATACTTAGTAATCAATGAGCGGAGGTGTATGCCTTTAATCCTCCAATCAGGAGGCAGAGGCAGACAGATCTCTGTGAGCTCAAGGCCAGCCTGGTTTACAGGCAAGTTCCAGGATGGCCAAAGATACATAGTGAGACCCCCATTCTCAAGTAAATTAAAATAAAATAATCAATATAAACCTAGAAAAATAATTCACAACCTAGGTATGGTGGTAGGATTCAAGGTCAGCCTCAGCTACATAGCAAACTGGAGCCAACCCTAGCCTAGGCTACTTGAAACCCTGTCTCAAGAAGAAAAGGAGAGCCGGCCGGTGGTGGCGCACACCTTTAATCCCAGCACTTGGGAGGCAGAGGCAGGCGGATCATTACCTATCTCTCCGTCTTTCTTAGGCAATCCTTATGAGAAGAGAGTCCTTAAAAGCAAATGTATACCAGCTCTCATAAAGCTTCACGTTCAGTCAGGAGATGGACAAGGTAACAGCTGCAACACTTAACCTAAGAATACTTAACCTAAGTGGGGGAAGCAAGAGGAAAACAACCCACTGAAACACCAGGAGATATGAGAATGAAAAGCTGACCTGTGCAGCTAACCCTAGATGAAATCATGAAGCTTTACCTGCCAAAAAATGCCACTTTCATATGTCTCCGCGACAGCACCTCACCAATGACGGCAAGCTTGTTTCTGTAGCCTTGTATTTCCACTAGATCATCCTCAGTTGCTATTCTATCAAGTTCCGGATTCCTGTAAGTTGCTGCAAAGTTGAAATAGTATTAGAAAAAGCAATATGAATGAATTCTGCTAAGCATACAACTGGATACATTAGCATATCACTTGAAAAATAAAAATCTTCATAGTATCTGAGTATTCGGCATATTCTTTATTATTTTTAAGATGCGTGTGTCAGGTATTTAATCTAGGACCTCATACATTCTAGGCAGGCACTCTACCACTAAGCCATAACCTTGAATATCTAATAAAAAGTGAATGCCCACAGTGATGACTTCCCTGCATTAATTTCAAAAATATTAAAGATTTCAAGAACTTGGTAAAAGGGATTACTTAATATTTATCTAGCAGTCAAAAATTCAAACCATATATGACACAAAAATTCAGTTTTAAAGAAAGAAACAAGAACCTAATAGCCATCTATTTTTGTTCAAGCCAATCTTGAGCTGGAAAGAAGTTCACATACTAATCTGTGAAGTTTCCTACCCCTCTGAAAGGAAGGTGGGATTCAGTCTGTGAGCTAGGAAAGCCCCTTTTCCCTATCACTCCACATCTTGACACCCCGGGAAGGAATACAACAGTCCAAGTTGTACAAAAAGGCAGAGAGAAAGACATACTGACTGCAGCAGAAGCTGGGCTGATCAGAGCAGGCAAACTGTACATACAGCCCTAACCAAGGATGGAGGAAGTTCCAAGATCATGGGTTTGAAAAGGAGTGAAATGAGCCAGGGGGTGGTAGTGCACACTTTTAATCCCAACACTCAGATGGCAGTGGCAAGTTGATCTCTGTGAGTTTGAGACCAGCCTGGTCTACAGAGCTAGTTCTACAACAGCCAGGATTGTTACACAGAAGAAAAGAAAAAGAGCAAAACATTCACTTTTCCTCATCCTGGTAATAGAAGAAAAAGCTAAAACTGTCTCTTTCTGAAGATAAGACAAGGAGACTCAAGCTTTTCCCACCTATTTTACATTTTGAGTACATTAATAAAGCATGTTGCAACTGGGGAGGAGTGGAAAGACTGCACTGAACTTGCTACCACAGAGCCTACAGGAACTCCAGATCCTACAGACTTGCACCACCAAGCCAAGATTGTAATTCTTAAAGCCTTACCTTACATATTATACTCCTTGCTATTCCTCATTTTACACTTCTTGGTTTATGTTTCTATTTACCCCCCCCCCCACACACACACTTTCTTGCAACATTTTTTTCCGAGGTTTTAGAACAAGTCAAAAGAATTCAGATGCTAATGCTGCCTTTTCACTAGTTCCCAGCAGTGTTCAATCTGTAATTGACAGGAGACCAAAAGAGATTTTACTACATTTAACTTCAGTTTTACTCACTATCAACTGTAGGAAATAGACTTTTTCACAAGTCGCTGTGCTGGCTCAAATTCTTCCCAAATTGAAAACAAACTTTTTCACTCAGTGAAACTTGAGTTATGTGGCATTTGAAATTGGAGATAACAAAAGTTTCAGACCTAAGGAGCTCACAATCTGGTGAGGGAGATTTAAAGGAACAAGTGGGAAAAAGTTTGATTCGACCAAGAGATTAAATGCCTTCCGTTGTCACTGGAAATAGATATTCTGGGTTTTTTTGGTTTTGTTTGGTTTTGTTTTGTTTGTTTGTTTGTTTTTTTGAGATAGGATTTCTCTGTAGTTTTGGAGCCTGGCCTGGAACTCACTCTGTAGACCAGACTGGCCTTAAATTTAGGGAGATCCACCTCCTGAGTGCCCATTGCTGCCACCACCCGGCTATCATTACAAATATTCTAAGAATTCCTCACTTTTTCATTGTTAACTTAATAGAGATATGTTAAGAACCTGAAGAAATTCCAAATTAGTTCTCTCTAAATTAGTATATCTTGCTAAGACAGTTGAGGCTACCTACTTTTGAGCAGTTTATAAGCACAAAAGGAAAACAGTTATCCTCTCCCAAAACAATTACAGCTCATGTGACAGAAGAGATAAAAGACTGAGATTCTAAAATTGCTCACAAACAAACTGGGGAAAAGGCCTGCGTAATGGCTGCATAGAGATGCCTGCTGGCTGGGCACATCCTAGCTCTGTGGGCCTGGGGCAAGGGGCTTATCTTCACAGAGCCTTAAAATGAGTCTGCTCTTAACTTACCTACTGGTCTTAGGAGGAGGAATTTTTAATTTCATAAAACTCTGACTAGTATCTTATTCATTTCTTAACTATGAAATCACTTTAACTCACTATGGTATTGTCCCCAGAATACAAAACAATGTGACTTCAACAATAAACCTGAGCAAAGCACACACCTGTAAACCCAGCAGTCGGGAGGCAGAGGCAGGTGGATAAGGAGTTTAAACTCATTCTGGCCACACAGCCGGCCTGATCTCAAAACAAAATAAAGAACTAAAGTTGAAATAATAAAACACTTGTATATATTTTCAACAGTAATCATAAAAAAAATTTTAAGAGGTTACCAACCTTCAATAAACTGTGACCCTTCAGTAACAAACTCCAGCAACTGGCCAAAGATCGCAGTGATGGCCTTCTTTGCCAGCACAAAGTGCTTCAGTGGAGACACACTTTCTGCCATTATGCACCTAGGGTGAAAAAAGTTAAAAAGCAATAGTGAGCCTTTGGGTGATACATGCCTGGAGTCTCAGCTATAGGGCAGGCTGAGGAGGAGGTACAATGAACCAAAGAAATCCAATTCTGCTTGGATAACACAACATAGCAGGGCTTTCCTCATCTCCAGAGCACTAATTAACTGAATATGAATAACAAGGGGTCTGAAGAGGTGGTCCAGCAGTTCTTCCAGAGGACCCTGGTTCCCAGAGCCTACATGGTGGCATATGGTGGCTCCTAACTACGACTCCAGTTCTAAGGGGTCTGATACCCTCCTCTGGCCCCCACAGGCACCATGCACACACATGGTGCACATTCTTACATGCAGCCACAATACCCACACACATAAAATAAAAATTATTAAAACATTAAAAAGAGAAAAACCATTTAAACTAAACTGAGTAATAAGGAAGCTGTGGTGTCACATTCTATAATTCCAACAGAGAGCAGGCTGAAGCAGGCCAGCTTTGACAAGACCTTGCTTAAAAAGAAAAAAAAAAACAATCAGGCAAAGCATTTGGGGACCCTAAAAATGGCCCAATGGGTAAAGGCACTTACTGCTAAGCCTAAGGACCTGAGTTCAATGCCCAGAAACCAACTGATGAAAGGAGACAACCAATCCCAATAAGGTGTTCCCTGCCTCCAACACAAGTTGTGAAACTCCAACAATCCCGTACACAAATCAAATGTAACTTTAAAAACTATATGATAAAAATGTGTATATTTCTGGGACTGGGCAGGTATCTCCGTGGTTAAGATCACTTGTTGATCTTCAGGAAAACTCAAATCGGGTTCTCAGAACCCACACGGCAGCTCACAACCATCTAACTCCAGTTCCAGGGGACCTGACACCCTCTTCTGTCCTCCAAAGATACTAGGAAAGACATACATAAAAAAGAAATAAAAAAACTAAAAACAAACAAAAATGTTTTAAAATCATACATATGCTAATACCTGCCAGTTTGTGTGTGTCTCAAGTCCCTAATGGCAAAAATTAACCAAACCAAATAGACCAAGTAGATTTAAAGTAATTTTTTACATAATTTATTTTTTTAAGAAACCATTTTAGTCAGAAACAGAAGACTACTCTTGAATGCGCTCTCAGCAAAACTGGTGACATCTGCCTGTAATCCAGTCACTCAGGAGGCTAAGGCATGAAAACCTGCAAGTTCAAGGCCTACAAAGGCAACACTGAGTTCGAGGCTTGCTTGGGTGTCTTAGTAAGACCCTGTCTCAACACGAGAAGTTTAGAAATGGGTTGCAGCAAGGGAGGGCACGGTGGCTCAGTGGTGAAGCCCTTGTCAAGCATGTGACACCTGAGCGGGTTCAGTCCTCGGCTCCGGAAAAGTAAATAATGTAAAATCGGTAAAGGCTAAGGACAAAAGTCTCGGGTGCATTTCCTCCTTTATTTCCCTCGAGTGAAGATGAAACTATTGTAGCTAAGCCGTGGCTGCGGGCGACTTTTAAGCCCACCAGGGAACTGGGTTAGGGAGAGGAAGCCAAGATCTCAAACCATAACTAAATTATTAACTTTCCCAATTCACGTACAGAGAAGAAAATTCCCAGGTCACAATTGCAGTCAAGACACTGGGAAAGCAGCAGGTTTCATCACAATTAAGGACTCGAGATTTCTTTTAAAAAGGAGGCTCCAGTGTCTGTACGAGAGGAAAAAAAAAAGGAATCTAAAAAAAGGAGGCATGAAGGCTCCAAGCCAAAGTCCCCAAACTTCAAGGAATGTTAAATTTAAAATAAAAGACGTTGTGCCTGGAAGCTTTTTATGAAAGACACCAAAGACAATTACCCACTAACCCCGGTATTGCGTGAAATGAAGCGCCGTGGTGACCCGGAGGGTGGGTCCCTCCGGAATCCTGAACTGACGTCGCGGAGGAGGTGCGTGGGGACAGGAAGCCGCGTAGGCCGTGAGCTGGCCCAGCCGGGTGGACTCCTACCTGGACAGGCCTTCCCGCAAGCCGGCCGCCTGTCACTCCCGCCCGGCCCGTCGCCCCAGCCGGTCAGGACGCCCTCGTTCTTCCTGTCCGGAGCTCGAAGGTCACTCCGGGCATCCCCGCCCGCCAACGGACGTTCACACCGTCCCGGCCCCAACGGTCACCCAGCAACTGAAGCTCCGCACAAGCCCCGGGAACATCTCACCTCCCGAGAGAGGGGAGGCGCCCAGAGGCGTGACGGCGTGGCGGCTACTTCCGGTCTCTCGCCTCTCTTATTGGCTATTACTCCGAGACAGGAACTGCGTATATTCCGGGAACCATTTTCCTTCAGGGCAGAAGGCGAGGTTTGTTGTGGGCAGGGACTCGTAACAGAAGCTTTGACCGCTTTTCCATCCCACCTTACAACTTCTCCAGTTCGTTTTTCCCTTCAAAGTTTTCAAAGCTCAGGGGAACCTTGGCGTGAAAAGATGCCTATGGTTGTCTTAGAGTGTGGGGTGCGAAGTTGGGATGCGTGTGAAAGGTGTGTTACTTAGGAGTTAGTTAACTTGTCTTTGACTTAAACTTTGATAGGCATCACCCGGAAATCTTGGTAAACTATTGATTTTGATTCATTGATCAGGTGAAGCCGAAGTTCCTACGTGGTTCTACGTGGTTCACATCCCGGGAGAGCCTCTACAGCATATGTCCTTTCCAGAATTAGCAAGTGAGATGCTTTTGCAAGGGAAGCCACTTCATCTCTGAATGGCCGGTATCTCATCTGTAAAATGTAAAATACTAAAAAATTCCTACTTTATGGGTAATGGGAAAGTGAGGGGGTTAGAACACTGATGGACACTTGGAAGAGGTGCATAAGTGAATACTGTGGTTCTATTGGATAGGCGACTGTCAATCAAATACAATGGGTGAGATCATTTCAACCTGTGCTTACTATTATGGGGTGGGGGAAATCAGGGCAATGGAATAGAGTATCTGAAGGAAAAGGAGGAAGGTGGCACTAACTAGGTGTTTCCTGAGAGGATGTCATTTCTCAGGTTTTTTCCAGACCCTTACTGGGAATCTCTGGAGGAAAACTGTTCAAAGACTAATTGAAAGAATAGTGGTTAGATGGATGAAATAAAAGACCAGCGTGGTGGAGTGTAGGGGGAAAAGGGAAAAGAGAAATAACTGTTAGAAGGAAGGCAGGTGTAGAATCATAAAAACTAAAATAAAACATAAAAACTAAGATAAGAAGTATGAATTTCTTTGAGACAGCCCAGATGGGCCTTAAACTTGAAATTCTTCTGAAATCTGCCAAGTGTTGGTTTTATAAATGTGTGTGCACCACCACATGCTGCAGAAATTTGGCTTTGATTAACTGTGCTGGGAAACTTTTAGCCTGGAGAATAATAAAAGTTGATATTTTTTGTTTGTCTGCCCTGAGACCACTTTTATTTATTTGTTTGTTTGTTTATTTAGGTTTTTTGAGACAGGGTTTCTCTGTTGCTTTGGAGCCAGTCCTGGAACTAGCTCTTGTAGACCAAGCTGGCCTTGAAATCACTGAGAGCCCCATTCTTCTGCCTCCTGGGTGCTGGGATTTAAGGCGTGTGCCACCGCGCTTTTTTAAACAGTGCTAAAGATTGAACCCAAAGTCGCACTTTATCTCTGAGCTATGTCTAGCCCTGTATCAAAAGTCTTTTCCATAATAGGGAACAGAGGCACATGCTTGAAGCAGCAGCTATTAGGAGTCTGAAACAGAAAGATTGCTCAAAGTCCAGAAGTTCTAACGATATATGGGCAATATAGTGAGGCCATCATCTGGGGAAAGAGAGAGGGAGAAAAGCCGGGCATGGTATCTCACTGACCCCAGCATCTGGGAAAGGAAGACAGGAAGATTGCCCCAAGGTGGAGGCCAGACTGGAATAGAGACCTGTCTCAAAAACCAAAGGCAATATTTATTTCCAACAAAAGTCTAAAACTATTCATTTTACATGTAAGTGATCCCGAGCAATCTCATGCTTTGCTGTGGGAGTATTGCTGTGTATTTCAGTTGTGGTACAGAAGCTGAGATCTTTATTTTCAGGAATGCTTTATGAGCAAGTAACAGCATCTACACTGGCTAAACTACCAGAAAAGGGAGGGTGGAGACTCTTGAGCAGAAGTGAACAATGAGTTCTGCAGGTAATTTCTTCTTGCGTTCTTCTCTTAAGGCCTTCTCACTGACTGGCCAGTCAAGCCCACATGGAGGTGGCCACTGAGTCATTTTGCTAACCTTTAATGCAGTTTCTACTGAAATGCTTATAAGCTGTTGAATGGAATTGGGGTGAATTTCGAAATTTACATGAAAGAAGGAAAATTAAGACAGCTCTCAGAAAGAGCAGGAACTAGAATTCACAGCCCTTAAGGAAGTATGTACGCTAAGCTCTAACACTCAATACACGGCGAAATTAGTGTCAGAGTTCCTATGCGAGATGAGTTAATATTGGGGAAGTTGATACACTTGAATGAACAAATAAAAGTTGAACTTAAGGGCCGGGCGGTGGTGGCACACGCCTTTAATCCCAGCACTCCGGGAGGCAGAGGCAGGCGGATCTCTGTGAGTTCGAGGCCAGCCTGGTCTACTAGAGCTAGTTCCAGGACAGGCTCCAAAGCTACAGAGAAACCCTGTCTCAAAAAAAAAAAAAAAAAAAAAAAAAAAAAAAAAAAAAGTTGAACTTAAACCTTCACACAAAAAAATTCAGATGGATAAAAACCTTAGACGTAAAAAGTAAAATAGGAAAAGTGTTGAGACAATAGGTAGGGAGTTAGAGACATGGCTCAGTAATCAAGAACACTAACTGCTCTTCCAAAGGACCCAGGTTTGATTCCCAACATCGATACAGCAGCTCACAGCACCAGTTCCAGAGGATGTGCGGCCCTCCTCTGACCTCCAAGGCCACAAGGCATGTAAACAGATATACTTGCAGGCAAAACATCCATAAATGTAAAAACATGGTTTCTAAAGAAAACACTAGGAAAGTGGTTTTGTATTTCTGTAATCTGTTACAGAGACTTTTGTAAGCAAGACACAGAAAGCACAATTTATAAGGGGAAATTTACATTTAAATATTAAATACCCCCTTCCCGTGCCCTCTTTCCTTCCCTCCCTCCTTTGATTTGAGGTGGGGTCTCAGTATTTTTGTTTCAGGTTGGCTTAGAACTCACAACTCGGGGGCTGGAGAGATGGCTCAGAGGTTAAGAGCACTGGCTACTCTTCCAGAGGTCCTGAGTTCAATTCCTCCCTAATGAGTTCACAACCTCCCTAATGAGATCTGGTGCCCTCTTCTGGCTTGCAGGCAGAACACTGTACATATAAAAAATAAACCAATCTTTAAAAAAAAGAGGGAAAGCATATAATAACTTAAAAAAGAAAAAGAACTCACAACTCTACTGTCATAGCCTCCCAAGCATAGATAGAGGTCTGTGCTCTCATTGAAATGTGAATACCTCTGACTCCTGAGTGCTGGAATTAAAGACATGTGCCACCATCACCCACAGGCCCAGCTAAATTTGAAGATTTATCCAGAAAAAGCAAATTGAGCTGTAGTGCTACTTCCTTGACAAATTCCACATAGCTCAGTTCCATGCCGTTAGTTAGATTGCTGGTTTCCTTCCTACTTACAATCCCAAACCAGCTGTGCAGAAAGTCTTTTAAAAATGTAATCTACCATGGCATCAGCTGCCGTGCTCCTTGTAAATTCATCAGTCTCTATTTTTAACTTCAATGGCAATTGCAATCTTAGAGTTACTTTGAAATAATTCATGGTTCTTAATAATGGAGCTTCGTAATTTAGCTTTGCATTTTAGTTTGTCATGAAAGATAATGGATTTCCATAGAGACTCAGTGTTCAGTGACATCCAGTATATTTTTTGTTACAAAATGCTTTTTCGGGGTATGCTGGCCCATAACTATAATCCCCAAACAGGAAAGAGAGACAGAAAGATCAAGAGTTCAGGGCTAGTTACTTCAGTTGACAAGCTCAAGGTCAGGCTATACCTAGACCCTATCTCAAATAATATATGGAAGCAAAGGACCAAGCATAGTAGTGTATACCCATCACTCCATGTTCAGGATGTGAGGACAAGTTCAAGAACAGCCTGGTTTTTCTTTTTTCTTTTTTTTTTTTTTTTGGATTTTTTTCGAGACATGGTTTCTCCGTAGCTTTTTTGGTTCCTGTCCTGGAACTAGTTCTTGTAGTCCAGGCTGGCCTCGAACTCACAGAGATCCGCCTGCCTCTGCCTCCCGAGTGCTGGGATTAAAGGTGTGCACCACCACCACCCGGCTCAGCCTGTTCTTCCTAGTGAGTTCCCTGTTACCAAGGACTAGAGAGTTAGACTCTGTTTTAAAAAAGTGTCAACCAATTTTCTTAGAGTACCCATCTCCTCTGTGAGAGTTGGGAGGTGGTGGTGTTTAGCAGTTTCCTCTAAGACAAAACATTCCTGCTCAGGTTTTTTGGGGGGGAGGGAGGAGCCAGTTAAAACCTAGAATGCTCTAAATGGAGACAAAAAAATTGCATTCTGTGGAAAATCATCTTAAAACTCTGAAAGAAGCCGGGCGGTGGTGGTGCACGCATTTAATCCCTGCACTCGGGAGGCAGAGGCAGGCGGATCTCTGTGAGTTCGAGACCAGCCTGGTCTACAGAGCTAGTTCCAGGACAGGCTCCAAAACCACAGAGAAACACTGNTGAGTTCGAGACCAGCCTGGTCTACAGAGCTAGTTCCAGGACAGGCTCCAAAACCACAGAGAAACACTGTCTGGGGGGGGGGGGGGAACTCTGGAAGAAGCCAGGCTGTGGTGGTACATGCCTTTAATTCCAGCACTGGGTGTGTGGGGGCGGGGGCAGAGTCAGGTGAATCTCTGAGTTCAAGGCCAGCCTGGTCTAAAAACAAACAAACAAAAAAGCTCAGGAAAACACCTGAAAAGCTTCAGGAAGTCTCTAACCTGACCATAAGCACCTAGCTCCTCACTCTACAAATGTCTGTAAATAGTAAGAACTACTGAGAGACAGGCTCAGATCTGCTAAGCTGCCTGAAAGAGGCTCAAACCAACTGAGCTAGTTCATACACACAAAGTTGTCTATTAAGTTCTACTGCTTAGAATCCAAAATAGATACTTTTGAAATATACAAATTGAGTGCTATCTACTAGATGTACGAAAATCCATTCCAGCGTGTATAGGCTGTGTTATGTATGATGGTACATGTACCAAGGGAGGAAACTTTATAAAGTTTAGAGGTCAGATAGAAGAAAGAACCAAAAGAAACCTCCGCTGTGTTTTAGTTGGGTTGCCATGGCCTGGTATGGTAGTGCGCACCTGTGTTACAGGACATTCAGTCACACTGTAAACCCCAAGTTTGCTTTTGCATTAATTAAACAAAATCAACCTGGTTCGGGAGGCTGGGTTAGCAACTAGTTGACAGAAAGTAATCTTGGAGAGTCAGACGGTGTCTGGAAGATGATAGACAGATGCACAGGATGTAGCAGGAAGGGACTCTGTGTGGCATGGTTTTTGTTGTTTGTTTTGTTTCATTTTGGTGGAGCGGAAGGACACTCTTTCTCTTCCCAGAATTCTCCTGTTCTCATTGCCTTGCCTCTGCTTCCTGCCTGGCTACTGGGCAATCAGCATTTTATTAAACAAGTACAAGAAACAAATCTTTACAGGGTAAAATCATTGTCCTGCAGCAGATCTTTGTGTTCTTTGGAGCCCAGCCAGGTCTACGAGAGCTAGTTCCAGGACAGCTAGCACTGTTACGCAGAGAAACCCTGTCTCAAAAACAAAAAAAAAAAAAAAAAAAAAAAACGGAGAAGGGGGTTCAATTTGGAGACAGCAATATAGCTGGTGCCTGTGGGAACGGAATTCCTGCTGGGCCATGGCCCGAGTTGCCAGGCTGCTGCCCAAAAAGGCTAGTAACTGCAGAGCAGCAATTTACTGAGGGGAAACAACATACCTGCAATCCCAGCACTTGGAAAGTGGAGGCAGGAGTACCTGGAGTTCAGGGCCATCCTGAGCTACACAGCCAGGTTTGGAGCCAGCTTGTGACACTTTTGAACAAATTAAAGTTCATAGACCAGATAACTTAAGCATTGCTCACAGTTTGGAAGTCAGAGGCTGAGGTTCTGGTGAGGCCCTTCTCCCAGCATGCAGACCGATGGCTCCTTATAGTCACATATGGATGGATAAGGTCTCTAGGTCCCTTCTAAGGACATTGCTGTCTTAGTTAGGGCTTTATTGTTGACTAGACTCCAGTTTTGATTTTTGTTGTTTTGTGGTTTGTCAAGACAGGGTTTCTCTCTCTCTCTTTTTGTGGGTTTTTTTAAGACAGGGTTTCTCTTTGTAACCCTGGCCATTGTAGAACTCACTCCATACAGACATGATTTTCTTCATAGCCCTGCTTCTCTTGGAACTCACTCTGTAGACCAGCCTAGTCTAGAACTCGGAGATTTGCCTGCCTCTGCCTCCTGAGTTCTGGAATTTAAAGGTGTGATTTTTTTGTTGGTTGGTTGGTTGGTTTTGGGTAGCAAAGAGGGTTGTGCACATAGCTCAGTGGGAGTACACTTGCTTGGCCTACGTTTGATCAAAAGCACTTAAGAAAAAAATTCTGCCAGCTGTAGTGGCGTTCGCCTTTAATTCCAGCACTCAGTCGGCAGAGGCAAGACAGGTCTCTGTGAGTTCAAGGCCAGAGCAAGTTCCTGAATAGGCTAGGCTCCAAAGTTACAAAGAAACTCTCCTTGGCAAAACAAACAAGCAAACAAACAAACAAATAAAGGAACTTTACCGTACTAGCCTGGAAACCTTAATTTGATCCTTGGAATCCGTGCACAGATAGAAGGGAAGGAGCCAACTCCACCAAGTCTTTTTTTTTTTTATTTTGACCTCCACACACTAATAATAAATAACAATAATAAAACTGTGTTTGGGGCTGGAAAGATGGCTCAGTGGTTAAGAGCATTGCCTGCTCTTCCAAAGGTTCTGAGTTCAATTCCCAGCAACCACATTCTGGCTCACAATCATCTGTAATGAGGTCTGGTGCCCTCTTCTGGCCTGCAGACATACAGACAGAATACTGTATACATAATTAATAAATAAATAAATAAATAAATAAATAAATATTAAAAAAATAAAACTGTGTTTGTGGTGGCACGTGCCTTTTATCCCCAGCACTAGGGGAGGCAGAGGCAGGTGGGTCTCTGAGTTCAAGGCCAGCCTGGTCAACACAGCAGTTCCAGGACAGCTAGGGCTACGTGGAAAACGGAAAAACCATGTCTTGAAAAACAAAACAAAAAAGTGAAATTAGGAATAGTGTTATTTTCTCAAAGCCTATCTATTTTTCTTTTTTTTTTTTTTAATTATCCCTGGGAAGATAAGCAGCTGACTAATACGTGATGAGTACATTTAGAGAAGTCTAGAAAAAATTATTTCAAATGACATAGCAAAATTATACACAGGAAAGGCTTTTGAACAGTGCACAACATTTTCAGCTTTGGGAGTACTGGAAAATGCTTTGGAACCTCACAAGTAGTAACTCAATTCAAGCTGACATTTAAAAACAAAGGCACTCACCACTGCTGTTCCCCTGCCGAGACTAGTGTTCAGGACGTGCTCTGACTGGAATGTGGTTAAGCCCCAAGAGTACAGAATCTGGAGGGCTAGAGGAGGCCCTACCCTTCCTTCTCAGGATCTATAAGCAGTTAATGGTTAATGAGGTGGGAAAAACATTTTCTTCAGGGTCGTCCCTGACCCTGTAAAGCCCTCCCTCGTGATCACACAAAGATGTGAGAGGAGGACTAGTGGTGAAGAGAGAGCAGTGGGAGTGGACACGCGTGGAAACTATCCCAGGACAATGGAAATGCCTGCTTCTAAAGGGGAGATTCTAGTAGGAAATTTTCTCTGTGTGTCCTCCATCTTATTAATTACATTTCTGTGTGGGCAAGTGTGTGTTAGTCAGAGAACAGGTTGTAGTGGGTTCTCTTCCACTACATGGGTCCTGGGGAACCAAACTCAGTTTGCCACACTTAGAAGCCTTTACCCACTAAACCATCTTGCCAGTTCTGAAATTTTTCTTTCCCTGGGTCTGTTTTCCCAGAGATCACTGAGCTAAATGTACAGTTCAACTACACCAGCAGTTTAAGGCCTGTGAACTCAAGGGGATCTGGTTTCATGCTGGACTCCTGGAAAAATGCATTAGCCTGCTCTCATCAGGTCTGCTTCCTGAAAGCCAGCTCCCTGGAACTAGATGTTTCCTAGCAAGCATAAACAGCAGAATTACCAAGAATCTAAGGAAACAGCGCAAGGACAAAGTTCACTCAGTGAACTGTGCAGACCTGGATTCCACTCCTGGGTGCTATGACCTTGACTCTTTGACAGCTTGCTATTTTACAAGAAATTTAAACTGCTAAGATTTCAAGCTTTAGGAGACAGTTAACTGGAAAGCCCTACCAGGAATGTTATAATCAGAAGCAAGTTCTAGGAATGCTGGCATGCTTAATAGAAATAGATGCTGAATTGTGAGAATATGCATTGAATTATCCATTATCAAATAGTGGTATGTTTTTGGTTGAGATGGGATTTTATTTTATGGCTCAGGCCGGTCCTGAATGCTGTTTTTCTACCTTAGCCTCCTGGGCTTGTGGGGCTGGAGAGTTGGCGTGGTTAAGAGCTCCTGTTGCCAAAGACCCAGGCTTGATTTCTAGCACCCCCATAGAGGCTCACCACCTCCTCAGGAACCAAGCATGCATGCGACGCATAGCTATCCATGCAAGCAAAACACTCATATACATAAAATAATAAAAATAAATCATAAAAAGCAGCATGCTGCATCTGAAAACCTTGAGCTCCTGCAATTTAAACCTCTATCTCCAGAGTGCTTGGGTTGCCGCTGTGTGCCACCATGCCCTGGCCCAGACCCTTCTTCAGTGAGCTTGGTAGGACTGGCTGTATGATTGGTGATCCAGTAGAGACAAGGAGATGTGGGACTGTCAAGTCAGAACACTCTGGCACAGACGGCCACTGACAAGCTGAGAAGCTAGGGTTGGATCCTTCCTCAGTGGTCCTCGGGAGCAACACCTCTGCCAGCGGTGTCAGAACTGAGAACTGCTCTGTGGCGGTTACAGCAGCCACTAGGATGCAGATTCATCAATACATTACACCAGAAACCTTTCATCCCCACACCCCTAACTGTATGCTAATATTTCAGTGGGTCTTCTCAATCCGTACATTTTTGTCAGAAGTTGGGGCATGACTTTGTGGGATGATGGCTGAGGATGAAATGCTAGGAGCTCTGGTAACGGTACTTAGATGAAGATAAAGTGCCAGTTGGTTATGAAGGGGTGTAAGGTGCTCAGTTTCACACATTCCCAGCTCTCCCCGTTTACACCCTTCAACTTAAGCAGAGGCTTTAGAAATGTTTGTTGGTGTGGTGCTTTAAGCCTGCCTTCCCAGCACCGAGAGGCTGAGGCAGGACTTTAATAGCTGGAACCCAGCTTGGGCTACAAAGTGAAGCCTGTCTCAACCCAGTTACAGCAGTTATTAACTCCAGTTCCAGGGGAGCTGATGCCCGCCTCGGGCCTCCATGGATACTGCACACATCTGGTGTGCTTACATACAGGCAAACACCACACTACACATATATGCTCTGTGCCCTAGCTCTGGTAGTGCAGTAGTTAGACTTCATAGAAGATGGTCTTCAGTTCTAAAGACCAGTTGGAAGCCCTGTGGTAAAGAAAGAAAACTGTGGTCCGTCTCTTCAGCACCTTTGTTTGCATTCAGGAACTTGAAAGCATAGGCAAGAAACTGGAAAATAGTCACCAAAAGTGACAACTACAGACTGTCATGCAATTGAAAACACCTCCATTAAATATACTTATATACTGAAAAATGCAGTAATGCCAGAAAACTTGTCAAAGACAAATTATACAAGTTATGTTTCAGATCACCCATTTTAATATTAAAAAATTACTTTACATAAACAGTATGTAAAGTTAAGTCAGGCAGTCTCATGGATTGGAAGGTGACTGACTAATTCCCTCTCACTCCCAAACCTCATCAGGCAGTCACTGCATTTATGAGGCAGGTCAGCTGAATGCTTGAAGTCAAGATGAATTTTAAGATCCTCAATTTGTCCTGTTGAATATTCACAATATTGGCATAAATAAATCCTTTCAGATAAATGTGAATTTAGATGCTTGCAATATTCTAACATGCTGGAAAAGCCCTTCCCACAGTCATCACAAACGTGGGGGAAGATTTTAGTATGCTCGATAGCAACATGTCTGTTCACGTTTGTGTGAAGTCTGCTACGAAATCCACATACTTGACACACGAAGAAGTTCTTGCATTTGTCAAAGGTGATCTTGCTTAAAAGGCTGCACTGCCCGTGCCCACCACCGCTGCACTTGTCACTCAGCTCTATCAGTCTTCGAGCGTGCTCATTGACCACGTGGCTGTGCAGGTCCTCAGGGTCGCCTGTCTCGTGCTCACAGAACTGGCACAGGTACTGTTCATCGCGGCTGTGCTCCTGGAAGTGCAGGTAGAGCTCACTGCTGGAGGAGAACTGCACGTCACACTGCTCGCACCAGTAAAGGTGGTCGCTGAAGTGGGTGTCCGCAATGTGCTGGCTGAGGTTCTCAAAGATCACGGTCTTATAGTCACAGTACTTACAGATGTAGGGGTCTTCTTCATGAAGTTTGGCGTGCTCAATGAGAAGCATATTAGTGGAAAAGCTTTCCTTACACACTCGACACACATTCGAGTCAGTGCGCTTGTGTTTCAGGATCATATGCTGCTTTAGGTCAGAAAAGTACTTACTGTTGAATTCACAAAGTTCACACTTGTAGAGGCCACTGCTGTTGGCTCTCAGTAAAGGCCACTTCTGTTGGGCAGTCACATTCAAAGCTTGGTTCTTGTCAAGTATTTTACAGAGTTTAGCTGGTGGTTCTTCATCAGTCTGGTCTTGGAGGCTCTCGGAGGAATTGTTCTCTGTTTCTATATCATAATCTTCAGAAATGGCATGAACTTCTACAGCAATTGGGACGTCTTCTGAGGTGTGAACCTCTATAGGGCTCTCCTCTTGAGTGTGCTGAGGCACAGACTCGGGCGAATCACATTCTTCATCACAGATTTCCACATCAGCAGACTTTTCTGAAACAGAGGAAGCCCGCTGTTATAGTACTGTACTACATAAGCCCTATTAGAGAATCATCCTATGTAGTACTGTCCACAGTACACCACATTAGATACATCAGTCCACGGCTGCCCACTGCACTAAGCCCTTCAGAACCAGCTGTCCCAGTACTGCAGCACTGTACTAAGTCCCATTACAAACAGCTGTGTGAACAGTAGTTACGGCATGCACTGCTTTTACCTGCTCTGTACAAAATACATTAAATGCTATCGGGTAATGAGTTCCTCTAACCTGTGGGAAAGACAGTGTGGTCTAGAATTCTAAGCACGGGGCTGGGAACAAGGTAGTTCTGATTCCTGTTTCTGGCCTTGGTTCCGTCTGTAAATTTGGGCAAGTCATTTGATGTCTCAGGATCAGAATCATCATCTGTAAAAAGAATTAGTAAAAACATTTTATATCAAAGCATTAACCATCACAAAATACTTAACACCAATAGAAACAACAGACTTAGCCATGAAAGGACATATTGCCTATTACATATTACAGATCCCTATAGACACTGAGAATATACCAGAATAATCCACTGCCTTTGTTTATATACCCAACTTACTGGAATACACTCTGAACTTCCTAAGGAGTGAGAATGAATCACTATTCCTTTAGTTCAGCCTCGTTCCCTCCAAGTTAGCATGATCTGAGGGTCAACAGAGAAAACTGGACGGCAGTATATGTGTGTGCGTTTTAATAGACTATTTTTTTTTTGTTTGTTTTTCTTTCTTTCTTTTTTTTGTTTGTTTTTTTTCGAGACAGGGTTTCTCTGTGGCTTTGGAGCCTGTCCTGGAACTAGCTCTGTAGACCAGGGTGGTCTTGAACTCACAGAGATCCACCTGCCTCCGCCTCCCGAGTGCTGGGATTAAAGGCATGCGCCACCACCACCGGGCTTAATAAACTATTTTTTAAAAGAAAAACTTAGGGGGAAAATCATGAAAACAGTATAAAGTACTCCTAACATATCACAACATTTCCACTATTAATTCTTTTTTTTTTAATTTTTTATATTTATTTATTTATTTATTTATTTATTTATTTATTTATTATGTATACAATATTCTGTCTATGTGTATGCCCGCAGGCCAGAAGAGGGCACCAGACCCCATTACAGATGGTTGTGAGCCACCATGTGGTTGCTGGGACTTGAACTCAGGACCTTTGGAAGAGCAGGCAATGCTCTTAACCTCTGAGCCATCTCTCCAGCCCCCCACTATTAATTCTTTACATTAGTATGGGGCATTTGTTGCAATTAATGATTGATATATGGCCACTGATAGTGATATATTATTACTAACTAAAGCCCATACTTCATCCAGACTTACTTTGTTTTTACCCAATGTCCTTTTGGATACCACATACATTTAGTCATGTCTATCTAGGTGACTGAAAATTGACTGTCCTAAGGACTATTGTCAGCCATTTTGTAGAATGCTGTACTAATGGAACTTATCTGTTTCTTTTTCTCATGATTAGATTGGAATTGCGAGATCCTGGAAGGCAGACCCCCTTGCCATCCCTTCCGGAATGCACACTAACTGCTGAGCTACCCTCCTGACCTGGCCAGTGTGCCACCTGGTTTCTGTCCTCCCCTACTCTCCTCTCTGAACGTCACTGTGATGCCTACACCAAGAAGTGGAAAGTTGGGTTCCATCTCCTTAAGGGAGGAATTCATGCAGGTGGTTATGGTTCACACCTTTAATCCCAGCACTCAGGAGGCAGAAGCAGGCAGATCTATCTCTAAGTTTGAGGCCAGTCTGGTCTACAGAGCTCCAGGATAGTTGTGGCTACACAGGGAAATCTGTCTTGAAAAAAACAGTGATGTGGGGGGGGTTCTTTTGTGCAAGCAATTTTTCTCTTCTATCCCTATTTATGCACGATCATTTATAGCAGTACAGATTCATGTTTCTCGAATTATTTTCAGCTTTGGCTACTGGAAGCTTTCCTTTTGTCTTCAATGCTGGGGTGGAAGCCAGGGACTCATGTGCGCTAGACAAGCACTGTCACCTGAGCTCCGCCTAGGCCCTCAAGAGCGCCTTCAGCTCATCCGTACTGTGTGTGTTGTTGTTTTTTAATACTTCCTATTTTCCAGCGCTACAAGATGCTCCAAAGTCATCTGTCTATCTCCTCCCCAGATCTGGAGCCAGCCATGGCTATAGGGGCTTTAGTTCATTGGTATTTTAAACCAAGACCTGAACATAAAATATGCTCACTGCTATTATTTGCTTCTTTTAGGCCTCACAACTGCCTAGTTCTATTAACTGTCACGGATACAGATGCAGATCCGTGAGCACCTCTGTGTGCGAGCATGAAAGTCTACTGAGCCAGGTGTGGGCTCACACAGACAAGGAGCAGCAGTGGGTGCAGAGAAAGAAAAGTGTGCATGTTCTTATCATTTACCAATGCTCTAGAGAAGAGGGGGCAACAGAGAATTTGAGACTGAAAAATACCTAACAGCTGCTCTTGACCCTTCCCTTCTCTCAGCACTCCAGACTGAGAGAAGACACTTGACTGCCAACATCCAATTTTAGGTCACTCCGGCTTTGGATCAACTCTTAGCCAAATAAAAGAAATTAAGAGTTTGCTTAAAAATGAAAGTTGCTTCCCAGCACTCGGGAGGCAGAGGCAGGCGGATCTCTGTGAGTTCGAGACCAGCCTGGTCTACAAGAGCTAGTTCCAGGACAGACTCCAAAACCACAGAGAAACCCGGTCTTGAAAAACCAAAAGAGGGGCTGGAGAGATGGCTCAGAGGTTAAGAGCATTGCCTGCTCTTCCAAAGGTCCTGAGTTCAATTCCCAGCAACCACATGGTGGCTCACAACCATCTGTAATGGGGTCTGGTACCCTCTTCTGGCCTGGAGGCATACACACAGACTATTGTATACATAATAAATAAATAAATATAAAAAAAGTGAAAGTTACTTATTTAAAAAACTACTTTTTTGGCCTGGAGGGATGGCTCAGCCGTTAAAGGCTAGGCTCACAACCAAAAATATAAGAGTTCGGTTCCCAGCACCCACGGCTGTCCCTCCAGGTATAAAAACAAAAACTACTTTTTTCTGATATTACAACAATTAAAATCTTTGCCTGCCTTGGAACTATAAGCCCACATTTCAAACTACCGTTTCAGATAATCCTGAAGGGAAAACATGCAAAGGCAGCCTTGTTTCTTGGCTTTTGTTTTTTGCAGTACCACAGAGGAGTCAGTTCTTACACACAGAGGCAGAGGCTCATCCATGGGGGGCATCCCTAGGTCCTGTCAAAGCAAGTTACACTGAGTACTCTGGAAGATGTGGGACTTACCTTTGTTGTCAAAGTATTTTAAGTCAGGTTGTCTCATAGAGCAGACACTGTAACAATGATCAGAAAAGATTCCACTGACTCCATCTGTGATTCTGCTTATTCCAGAAGAATCTGAACGTAAAAAAAAAAAAAAAATGAAGACAATTCCCAGCATAGTACACAGATGCATGAGCTAGTCTGACATATTTTTTTGTTTACTTCCTCCCTAAGTTAAAGACTGAACCCAGCACCTTACACATACCAGGCAAGCCCTCCACCTATAGCCCTAGCCTGTATTTTCATGATTTTGACGAGTTTCAATAGGAAAAATGTAGCGTGTTCCTCAGTTTTACACTTTAGATCAGACACTGGCGTTTGGCTTTAAAAAAGAGCCATAAACTAAACTATAGTAACGCTTAAGAAGCTGAGTGACTGAGTTCGAGGCCAGCCTGGCTCAGGACAGGCTCCAAAGCCACAGAGAAACCCTGTCTCGAAAAACCAAAAAAAAAAGAAGCTGAGTGACTGCTGCACACCTATGGTGTCAGGAACACAGAGGCTAAGGTGGATCAGCAAGGCTTTAATTCTATAATGAATTTAAATAAGATAAAACTGAAACCTTTAGAAACGGGCTGGAGAGATGGCTCAGATACTGTGTTGCTAGGTTCAGTTTACAGCACCCACATGGTGGCTCACAACTGTCTGTAACTCAGTTCCAGGGGATCTAACACCTTCGAGCCTCCACCAGCACTAGGCTTATGGTGCACATACATAAATGTTGTCAAAACACTCATACACATAAAAATAAATGTACCTTGAAACATATACAAGGAAACATTTGCCTAAAGTTTGAATCTCACAAAATACACATATATAATAAATGCTGTGTTAAGGATTAAAACAGTGAATTAGCTACCGTGAACTACTAAGAAGGCATGCCATGCCACGTAAGTGCCAAGAAAGCGTAATACATGAGGAGAACTAGTCTCAGGAGCAGAGAGGGCTTCTGAATACCAGTCATTCCAAACATTGCCTGGTAAGCACCAATAAATACACAGTAGACCAAGCTCACTTTCCTCATAAAGGGCATGTGCAAGGAGCAAGCTAATGGGTATGCTGTCTCAAGTATGTGTGCTAGAGATGGTCACAAAGATGATCTTCTTTCTTTGTTTTTTATGACAGGATTTCTTTGTGTGACCTTAGCTGTCATGGAACTCTGCTCTATAGATAGACCAGGCTGGCCTGGAGTGCTAAGCTTAAAGGCATGCACCACTAGCAGCCTCGTTTTCCTTTTTTTGAGATTGGATCTCATGCAGCCCAAGCTGACCTCACTCTGGATCTGTCCTGCCTCCATCTCTCAAGTGATGGGATGAGGCGAAACCAGGGCTTCATGTATACAAGGCAAGCATCCTATACACTGAGCTATACCCCCAGCCCAGACCTCTTATGTTAACAGAGCAGAGCCAACCTCTGTCACAAATTACACAATCAAGATAAAAACTGGGGAGGTAGAGATGGCTCAGTGATTAAGAAGAGCACTTGGGTTGCTCTTGCAGAGGACCTGGGTTCAGTTCTAGCTCCTCCATGATGGTTCACAACCATCAAGTACTTCCAGGGGATCCAACACCCTCTTCTGACTTCCATAGGCAACAGGCACGCACATGGTACCACATACACATGCAGATAAACACTCAAGACACATAAAATAAAGGTCACAGTTCCATAAAGTGTTCAAGATAAAGCTTTTTCCCTCAATATTTGCTGCTGAAGTTATTGCTGCGCCGTAAGCACAGTTCTGACTCTGATGATATATGAGGAGTAAGCTGGGAACTCTAAAATGTCAAGTGGTAAAGCACCCTGTAGCACTCCATCTAGGAGACATACGAGAAAATGGTCCAGACAGCACCTTATCATTTATGCAAAACTAGATGGGAATAACAACTACGCAGAAATTAATCCATTACTCTTTTGAAAATAATAATTATTCACTAACCTGAATAACGAGAAGGGTGTAAAGTCTTCCTTTTTCTTTTTTTAGGATATTCATTCATATCTTTTCAATCTAAAAAATGAAAAACATTCACAGACATGGTACAATAACTAGTATTATTGTATAAATTCTTTTGAGCCAAAGACTTTATTAGCAATAAGAAATGGGGGTGGGGTGGAGAAATGGCTCAGCAGTTTTCTAAGAAGACTGGCTACTCTTCCAGAGGACCTGGGTTCAATTCCCAGCACCCATGTGGCAGCTCACTACTATCTGTAATTTGAATCTCAGGGACTCTGACTCCCTTCTGTGGGCCTCCAAGGGTACCAAGAATGTATGTGGTGCAAGACATCCATACATATAAAATATTTTATAAAGAAATCTGTGTGGAACATGAAAATAGGTATCACAAGAACAACACTGCACAATGCCTCTCTCTATTGAAAATTATAGAGAGCCTCCCAGATAAGCCTAGACTATGAGACCCTGTCTCATAAAACAAAGCAACATGCACCTTTTAGTCCCAGCATTCAGGAGGCTGAGACAGGCAGAGTCTGAGACTATACTGGTCTACAAAAAGAGTTCCAGACCAGCCATGGTTACAAAGCGAGACCCTGTCAATCAAATACACACACCACTGCCTCCCCCCCCCACAGACCCCCCCCACAACCCATTTTATCTTTGGGCCTACAACATTTCTACAGACTTCAAGCTAAAGATGGATATCTTTCCTTTTAAAATATAGTTGTGACTCTATTAACACAATGGCTTCCAGAAAAAATGTGTTATACAGACTCTTGGAATATAAGTAATTTTCAAGAAAGAAAAGAATCTTAATAATGATTATGATGTCACATTCAACATTCTACTGAGAAGTGTGGCTGCCACCAAACAACTAAATTCCCATGAACCATTAGAAAATTTACTAATTAGTTTGGCTGTATTCCACTTACTTGGTATAATTATCAATACTACAGCAAGGAAAATGAATTACAGGCAAATTTCCACAGATGGCAAAAAACACCTACAAGTAAAAGAGACCAGCAGTCATATAAGCAACAGCACCACTGAATGAGCCGTAGCTCATGGATAAAATGCTTCCACATCTTAAATTAGCCACAGAAAGAATGAACTCGGACATAATATTTATGCTTTCTAAACTCTTAACAATTGTATATACTGATAAATACCCAATTTTTTTTTGGGGGGGGTGGTTTCGAGACAGGGTTTCTCTGTAGCTTTGGAGCCTGTCCTAGAACTAGCTCTTACAGACCAGGTTGGCCTCGAACTCACAGAGATCCACCTGCCTCTGCCTTCCTCACCTAGCTAAATACCCAATTATATGTAAAATTTTCATATTTCTTTTAAAATTTTTATATTTATAGCCACAGCTGTATCTTGACATCAAAATCACAGTGTACGTCTGCATTAATTTATTCAGACATTAGAAAAATCACAAATGGCCAGGTGGTGGTGGTGCATGCCTTTAATCCCAGCACTCAGGAGACAGAGACAGGTGGATCTCTGTGAGTTCGAGGCTAGCTTGGTCTACAGAGTGAGTTTCAGAACAGGTTCCAAAGCTACAGAGAAACTCTGTCTCAAAAAACAGAAAAACAAAACAAAAACAATAAAAAGAAGGAAGGAAGGAAGGTCACAAATGGCTGGTTGTGGTAGTCCACACTTTTAATCCCAGCACTAAGAAGCAGAAGCAGATGGCTCTCTCTGAGTTCAAGGCCAGCCAGAGCTATTACACAGAGAAACCCCGTCTAGAAAAAAAAAAAAAAAAAAAAAAACAAGAAAAATGACAAAATATCCAAGCTCCTTCTCCCATCTCAGCTTAACATCTGTCCACTGGTGCAGGGAGGGAGCACCCTGAATGCTGCTTTTCTCTCTCCACTTCTTCCCTGTTAGTTTCTTGAGCTAGCGCCTATGTAGTCCTGTCTAGTCCTAAGACTCCATCTATGGTGGTCTTGTCCTAGCCCCTGGAGTCACTGCCCAAGGGGCACACACTAGGTTAGTCACTGTGCTGCATGTCACATGATCACACAATGATAAGGTGGCATTCTTCTTACTTATGTCATCTTCCCAACAGTCCCATGAGGAACACAGAAGGGTTCCCTATCAAACTCACCTCATTTTAAGCACTGAAGAAACTAACTCCAATAAAGTCCATTATGACATAGCAGGACCAAAGATGGAACACTTGTCTTTGGACTGCTGGTGTCAATTAACTCTGTGTGTGTGGGACTCTCACTGCTCCATACCGCCACCAGCAAGTCTGTTCATCTTCCCTCACGTTCTTAGCCACAGGTCGGAGGGGGGGAAGCGATACCTGGAAAACTGACAGCCATATTCTTTTTTTTTTTTTAATATTTATTTATTTATTATGTATACAATATTCTGTCTGTGTGTATGACAGCAGGCCAGAAGAGGGCACCAGACCACATTCCAGATGGTTGTGAGCCACCATGTGGTTGCCGGGAATTGAACTCAGGACCTTTGGAAGAGCAGGCAATGCCCTTAACCACTGAGCCATCTCTCCAGCCCCCGACAGCCATATTCTTATAGAAACATTAGGTACATATACAAAATGCCTCACCCAACACCATAAACAGCATTATTTGGTTTTTAGAGACAGGGTTTCTTGTAGCCCATATCTTAACATATATTAACTAATATGTCAAGAGGAAATTTCAGATTGTTCAGAACACAAAAGGGAAACCAAGCATGGAAATACAATGATTTAAAATAGCAAGTTGGATTTGGCCTGTCAAGAGAGAGAAGACAGGTGAGAGTCTGACTTCTACTTAGGACCGAACACCACCAAAGGCTTACTAAGACCACTCACAACCAAACCTGCTAATCAAGCTTCATATCAGCAAACAGTATGGGCTTTCTGTATGCAAGTGCCTTCATAAAGACATTCGGGGCATGCACACATGCAAACTGCCACAGCACAGGAGTGGTGTGTCCAGGGGATTGAACTCAGGTCATCAGGCGCCTTTACTCACGGAGCCATCTTGCCAGCTCCAGAAATTTAGCTTCTTAATCAAATAATATAAATCAGATAAACTTGTGCTAATTCTATCAAAAAGATTGTGAATCACCTGAAACTTACCTCTGCCCCCAACTATACACACGTAGAAAACCAGGACATTTAAAATCAAACCACCTAAAATCTATTCACTCAGAAAAAGTCAAATTTTGATGATGTATCCACAGTTTATAATGTAGTGCTTAAAAAAAAAAAAAAGCCAGGCGGATCTCTTGTGAATTTGAGGACAGCTGATCTACAGAACAGGTTACAGGACAGCCAGGGCTGTACCCACAGACAACCTTGTCTGGGGTAGGTGGAAGAATCACCCCAAAAAAACAAACAAAACCCCTCTACTTTGCTGAGTGTGGTGGTGCATTGCTTTATTCCCAGCCCTCAGGAGGCAGAGACAAGAGATCTTTGATTTCTTGGTCAACCTGGTCTACATAATGAGTTCCAGAACCAGTCAGGAGTACATTGTTTCAAAAAAGAATGAACAGATGGGATGTGGTCATATGTCAATTCTGAATTTAATCTACATTTGACGTATTTGTTTGTTTGTTTGTTTGAACTCAAAGGTCTGCCTCTGCCTTCACGAGAGTGCAGGGATCAAAGGTATGCACCACCCCTCCTGGCTGTGTCTTCATTTCTGAGAAAACATGAAAGAAAAAGTCCCACTTTACAAAGCCCCAACCCCATCCTCAGGCAAAGGGCGGTCTGGTTGGCAGCCTACGTGTACATCCCTAAAAATCTGGGAGCACAATATATGAAATCTTATTTTAAAAATCCTCCTCCATAGCTGGGCCATGGTGGCACATGCCTTTAATCCCAGTACTTGGGAGGCAAAGGCAGGTGGATCTCTGAATTCAAGGCCAGTCTAGTCTTCGGATCTCAAGTTCCAGGATAGCTGGGGCTACACAAAGAAACCCTGTCTCGAAAAACTTAAAAAAATCATCTTCCATGTCAACAGCAGAGCTCAGGGGCTCACAGCTGGCATCCCAGCACTCAGGAGGCTGAGGTAAGACTACACTGAAAGACTATCTCCTAAAAACAAAATAAACAGGTAACCACACGTAGGCACATTGGCACATGACATCTTACTAGTGCTTCCCTTTTCAAAGACTTCATGCAACTCTAGTGTCTACACAATGCAAAGATGGATTTTTAAAAACCTTGTTTTCGTGTGTGTGCGTGTATTGTGTAGTACAAGAGAGGGTGTTGAATCTCCTGGAGATGGAGTTACAGGCAATCATGAGCCTGCTCCAATTGGCTGTTCTCTCCAGCTCCAACAAAGGGTCGTTGCGTTTTCAAGACGTTTAAATTACTTTTAGTTTTCACTACCATAAAAGTAAGTATTTTCAGGACCGGCGTGATGGCTCAGACGGCGCTTACCGGCAAGCCTAACCTGAGTGATTCCCGGAACCCACATGGTGGAAGAACAGACTTCTTGAAAGTTGTCCTGTGACCTCTACACTTGCGTTGTGCCACACGTGTGCATGCATGCACACAATAACCACACATAATTTCAAGCATAAAAAGAGAATTTTCACATTCTGATTGAAGCTCGGCGTTGTGGCTCACGCCTCTAAGTCCAGCCTGGGCTACACAAGACCTTGTCACAAATAACAGGAATTGAAGCGGCTTTCGGAGTGCTGGCCCCATTTGGCCTTTCCCGAGACCCGCCGTCCCTGAGGATGCAGGGCCGGGTCCCCGCTGGGGAGGAGCGGCCTCCTGCAGGCCGGCGTGGGCCTCCACGCCGCAGAGTCCACCCGAGCCACGGCCGCCGACCCACACCCAGCTGGGCAGGCCCCGCTCGCCCCGCGGCCCTCGCTCGGCGCACAGGCCCCGGCAGGCCGGCCCTCACCTCACGCAGCAGCGCAGCTCCGCCGAGGCCCGCCCGGGTGATGGTACGGAGGTGGCTGCCGGGAGATCGCCCACGCCCTCCCCCGCCGCGCGCGCCCTCCCTGCCCTGCCCGCCAGGCCCGGCTGCACTCACCCCGTCGCTCCGCGCATGCGCCGCTGCAGGCCGCGAGGAGGGGGGGGGAGAAAAACCCCTGAACCCCAGGCTGAGGGCGTGGTCTGAGAACGAGGCGGGCGTGGTTTCGTGCTGTGGGCGGGGCCTGATAACAGGACGCGGGCTGGGAGAGGCTCACCGTGTCTCCCGCCCCCCCCCCATTCATCCCTCTGTGCTCAGGGTTCTCCTACCCGGCGGGTCCCTGAAGGCCGCCTGTGATCAATTTGCGGGGCTTCACGATCATTAGCGTTTCACCTGGAAGTATCTCTGCAGCCTGATGTCACACACACACCGCGTGGTGGTTGCACTCAAGCCCTAACAAAGAGCATCCGGGCTAGATAAGTACAGGTCCGGGAAAAGGCGACACGTTTGGAGACGTCTCCTCAGGCCACACCCTAGATTCTAGAGGCCTTGGGGATTAGAGGTGGGGTGTGAGAGGCTGAAGAAAATGACTCAGCGGTTAAGCAAGAGTATATAAGAGTATTACTCCTCTAACAGAAAAAGCACCCACATGGGCACTCACAACCGCCTGTATTGTAATTCCAACTGCGGGTTCTGATGCCTCCGCAGACGCACACAACACACACACCTAAATGCAAATAAATCCTAAAAGAGAAGTTTTGGTGGAGTGAACAGAGGCTATACAAAGGATTGGATTTCATCTTTTAAATACTTTTCGGACCTTGACAGTCAATGAGCTGATGGAAAAGAATTAAATTAAATGAACGTGCCAGGCGGTGGTGGCACGCGCCTTTAATTCCAGCACTCGGGAGGCAGAGACAGGTGGATCTTTGTGAGTTCGAGGCCGGCCTAGTCTATGCCCAGTCTACAGGAGTTAGTTCCAGGACGGCCAGAGCTGTTACACAGAGAAAGCCTGTCTCGAAAACCAAAAGAAAGAAAGAAAAGAAAAAGAAAAAAATTAAATGAACATAATTGTGAACATAGTTTTTGAATTATCCCTTAGACTGGAGGAAGAGTTCAGTAGTGGTCTGTGCTTGGCAGGGTGAGAACTGAGGTTTGAGCCCTTGTCCTTACAGTCTAGAGTGTGACTGTGTGTTTTCTCGCCCCTCCCTCAGTGTTAAGAATGGACTCCAGGGGATGGAAAGAAGGCTCTGCTGTTAAAAATCTCTACTAGGAGACCCAGGTTCAATTCCCAGGCTCACAACTGCCTATGAATTCAGTTCTAGGTAATCAGACGCTGCATTCTGACCGTCATGTGCAGTACAAACACACGTAATGCTCAGACATACGTCCAGGGAAACACTCGTACACAAGAGAATAAAATATATAAAAACAAAACAAAACTTCAGTTTTGTTTTTTTGAGACAGTTTCTCTGTGTAACAGTCCTAGCTGTCCTGAAACTTGCTTTATAGATCAGGCTGGCTTCGAATTCTCAATCTGCTTCTGAAGCACGATTAATAAAAACTAAGAGACAGAATTTGGGGTTCAACCTGAAGGTAAGAAAACCAAAATGGCCAGCATTGGCTCTTACCTCAACTTCAGTCTGAAAATGATGATCCTGCCTCCAGGAATCTCAAAATGGGACCAAGACTGAGAGCTGTCTCCTCCCGTTTTATAATCCTCTCGAGTTCTGGGATTAAAGGCATGTACCACTGCCACCTGGTTTCTATGGTAAACTAGTGTGGCTGCTGGGATTAAAGGTGTGTGCCACCACTGCCCGGTCTGCAAGGCTGGCCAGTGTGACTGTTTTACTTTCCCAATCCCGAGGCAAGTTTTATTTATTAAAATACAAATGAAATGCCACTACATGCCTCTGCCTTCTGAGTGCTGGGATTGAGCATGTGCCACCACATCTGGCTTAAAAAAAAAAAAAAAAAAAAATCTTAAGTAATGTAATTGCAGGCCTCCACCACTGAGCTGTCTCCCAACCCCTAATCTGGAGTGAGGGAAAGCCATCAGGACAATTAGAAAAAAGGAGCTGTGTTACTTGGTTTTTTAATTTAAGCACCCGGGGTTCAACCAATTGTAAGTGAATGGCTAAATTGAGTCAGGGTACCTTATTCCCAAGGTCACCTGCAAAGCCCCAGCTGTGGTTCCGTGTCTTGCCCCCTCTCATACACTGTGTTCTTGCTGACAGTCACCTGCTACTCAGGCAGTCTTTACTGACCGCCCCCACCATGACGGGAAATCCAGCTGTGCGGTACTGGAGAGGCAGTGCTTGTTTGTGAGGTTCAGTTTAGTGACCTCATAATCCACAGGCGTTCTCAGCTTAGACAAATGAATATTCACAGACATTAGTGTGACCCGAATAAAGTAAGAAAGGATTTGCAGACACAATTCACTCCTGGTATACTTAGTACCTGGCACAGAATAAGGGAATCAATTTGAGTGATCGCTACAAGACTGTTGAATTCTTAAAGATGCTGCCGCGGATGTTGGCTTCAGTGTGAGTCCAGTGGTGGCAACAGGGGGCGCCATGCCACAACCGTCAGAGCTTCTCATACTTGCCCTTGCCTGATCTGTCTTCTACGCAGCGGTTTTATTCCAAAGCATTTTGTAAACACACATCCTTTTGTCTGCATCACTAAAAAAAAAAAAAAAAAAAAAAAAAAAAAAAAAAAAAAAAAAAAAAAAAAAAAAAAAAAAAAATAAGAAAAGCTTGCTGGGTGAACCACGGAGTCGCCTTTGTCATAGTATTTCGATGTCATGCATCACTGTCATAGATGATTAACTGGAGTCTTTCTTGGTCTTTTTTCAAGCCTCCCCTTTTCTCCTTCCCCTCAGAGGGGCAGCTGGGTAAACTCTTGAAAGCCCTAGGACAACATTTTTACAGGGATATTTAACCGCCACCCTCCCAACCTTTTGCAAAACGTGTATTATAGCTTGAGTTTTTCCTGATTACACAGGTGTGAGTTATATAGTAGACAACAGAACAGTATAAAGAATGAAAAAAATTACCAAGTCCCACATCCCTGAACTGTGTGCTTTGATCTGTGTCTGCTCATGACTTTTATATCTGCATGCACAAATATTTTCTCAAAATCAGATTATCATGTTAAGTGGCAGCTTCTTTCAGTTAATATAATATAAACATTCCTTATATTATTAAAGTCCTAGTGGTACCTTACATTTACTGTAAATGACAATATAAGTCAAACCATGGTATTTAAGCTGTTTGCACCTTTTCAACTACCTTGCCAAAGCAGGCATGGAGGCAAATGACTATAATCCCACTTGTAAAGTGGAGGCAGAAGGATCAAAAGTTCGACAGTCTCAACTACACACCAAGTTGGAGGCCAGCCTAGCCCTTGTCCCCACCTGTGTTCAATGAATATGCATTTGGATTCATTAGTGAGCCTCCTGCTTAGCATTTTAAGGAGACTGCAGTAGCCATGGTAGAGGGGTTAATACAAGAAGATCTTTTGAGCCTTTTAATGACAGGCTTGAAAGGCCACTGGGGAAATCTTTTCAGTTCTCTGTGGGCCATAATTGTCTGAAGTATTCCCGTATTCTGAGTTTTGAAGTCCCAGCACCATTGCCCACCTTGCTCTGAGGGCTAATGTTACGCATTAAGTTTAAGCTACGGTGCTTGAGAGAGCTGTACAACAGAAATGCCGCTAACCTGTAAGCAGCGCTGGCAAAGGACAGACAACTTCCTAGAATCCTGAGACTGTTGTTCATGAACTATGACAAGCTGCACGTTTTGACTTCAGTAAATAGGCTTGGTTGCCCAACTGCGCAGGGTGTGCCTGACTACAAGTAGGTGGGAGGTACGTATCAGGGTATACGTGTCAGGATGCACGCTAGTCCCTGTCTGGATGAAGGTGTGAAGGACGGAGCCTTGTGGGCTTTGCCTTTAAAAGCCCCTGACTAATGTAATTCAGCGCCATTCTCTGGGAATCCTGGGTGTGGACTTGGCCTGTGTCCGTCATTCTGACCGATATTCACTAAAGCTTGCTTCCAAATTTGGCTTAAAAATTGTGGTAGAGGGCTGGAGAGATGGCTCAGTGGTTAAGAGCACTGCCTGCTCTTCCAAAGGTCCTGAGTTCAATTCCCAGCAACCACATGGTGGCTCACAACCATCTGTAACGGGGTCTGGTGCCCTCTTCTGGCCTGCAGGCATACATGCAGACAGAATACTGAGAATACTGTATACATAATAAATAAAAATAAATCTTAAAAAAAAAAGCTACTTAAAAAAAATTGTGGTAGAGGTCTGACTTTCGAACACTAGATTAATACTCCCCTGCTGTAAAGGTTAACTAGCCAAAGTGAGCAGCAGAGCTTCCCCTCACCGAAGACTAATCACTATGGAAAGATTGCTCATTGTAATTTTTGAAATTTCTACTTGTGATAGGGCAGGACTCTATGCATATTTCCCATAATTCCCTTATCCTACCCCCTCCTTTTCTTACCCCTCCTCTTCCTCAGCCCCTTCCCCTTCCTCTTCTCTCCCTTCTTATTTCCTGACCACCATCTTTCTTCTTATTTTCTCCCAGGCTGTTCTGAGACTCTCCTATAACCCAGGCTGGCTTCAAACTCCTGATCCTCCAACCTCTGCTTCACAAACACAAGGGATTGTGCCACCACAGGCAGCTGGGAAATAGATACTTAACATCTGGGAAAGAAAGGAAAATAGAGAGAGAGCAAAGAAAGGGGAGGAGTGATGGAAGTTTGTACTGCACCGAGTTATCCATGTTGACTGAGATAAAGGGGCACTAGGCAGGTGTTCTGTCAGCTACGAAATGGCCTGTCAACCACAGCAGCCTGGGGAGTCCCCCATCTTCTGGGAATCTTGGCTCTGGTAAAAACCAGACCCTTAGCTTAAACACAGAAACGAATTTCAGGACTAATTAGTGTAACTGTCCTGGAACTATATAGACCAGGATGGTCTCAAACTCATACAGACCCACCAGCCTCGGCCTCCCAAATGCTGGGTTTAAAGGTGTAGGCCACTGCACCTGGCTTCAGACTCTCCTTATGTTTAGGTTTTTGATCATTTTAAGGTAAGTTTTCCATATTGTGTGAAGTAGCATAAGGTTAATTTAACATTTTTAAGTTATATATGGTGTGTGGGTGTGGGTGTGTGCACTCTCCTGTGCATGCCACACTGAGGAAGTCAGAAAACAACTTGCAGGAGTCTGTTCTCTCCTTCCAT